CCTATATTTGTCAACTTTTACATGTTAAAAATTTAAGGAATGTTAACAGTAGGGCCCTCACCACCACCACTTTGTCCTACTCTATCAGGGCAGACACTCATTTATTTTAACTGACTCCAGGGGGATTTATTCCACATTTCTCTTCTTTTTTTCTTTGGCGGAACCAGGGATTGAACTCAGGTCCTTGTGCTTGCCAGGCAAGTGCTTATTCTACTGAGCCATCTCCCCGGCCCCCAATTCCACATTTCTAATTAGTATTCCTATATTACCATTTCTTAGCTAGCCAATTTTATTTTATTTATTTTTTTTATTTTACTAGATTTGTTTTATTTGCTGTCTTATTTTACTTGTTTATTTTAATTTGTTTTTTAATTAATTTTATTGAGAAACAAGTAGTAATGAGACAGTTTCAAAACAGGATAGTAGGACAGTAACAGTAATTAATACATTGCATATTGTTGTCTTCATAGTAGTTATTCATAGTATAAGATGCAGACATTATATCCTGTCCAAACACTATTAGTACAAATCTTACTTCTCATTGAATTAAGAGAAAGGAGCTGTATATCTATCCTAACTACTCTGTATATACAGATTCAAAATGGTCCTTCATCTGTATCCCCTTTCATTGTTTAGTTTTGTCAGAGAAGGGTATTCCATTGCCATTTAAATATTATAGGTGCGTGAATTCAGCAAAGTAATCCAATATAGTCCAGTAGTCCATAATAGTAGTATGTTATCCGTAGACTGGCAATGTCAGAAGTTGTTGACTTGGGCCTTTCACAGCTCAGCATATTAATATGGCTTTACTTTTCATACCTCATTTTTATACATTTTTGCTGGGTGGTTAAGACCAAGATAAAGCAGGAACTATATAAAAAGAAATGTAACTTTTGTATCTGCCAAGGTCAGTCAAATCCCCTCAGGATTTACCCTGAAACCCTGTACCGCAGTTTGTAGATCATATGTCAGTGTCACTCATGTGGATGAGTCACAGTCATTGCTTGATGAATTTGCTCTCTGTGAAAGCCTGAGAGTAAGTTTTCTCTCCCTGTGACTCTCCTTAGGCATACTCTACATCATCAATCACTTTCCTCTGTGGTTCCATAATCTCCTTGATCAGAAAATTTGGAATATCACTGAGTTATAGCATGTTCCAGTACAGGTTCACTTATGTCCTGAGTCTTCACTGACCTTGAAAGGCTAGGGCCAAAACGCTTCTGTCTTATTTTAATGTTATAATAAAATTCAATAAAAGAAGCTTTTTATTATTTATTTACCTTAACTATGTTATGTATTTTATAGGTAGCTGAGGCAATTTCTTTTCACTAAATGTGGCTCAGACAAGGTAAATGTTGGACACCTATGCATTAGAGAGTCCTTAGGTCCCAACTGTGGTCACCAGGCAAGCTCAAAGCTTTACAATGGCAAATCTTTTCAGTGGCAGCAACTCCACCTACAGGCATTTTCATTCTGGTACAAGTCCAGCCCCAGGTGACACTTCCAAATTCAACATGTTTGGCGCTCAGGTGTTCTCTCTTCTTCCAGGTGCTCTCAAGATATAGCAGCAGGAAAGAAACTGTCAGAGATAACTACAAACAGGAAGGAGAAAATTCCTCTTACGTTTTCTGAAGATTGTTTGTATCTAAACATTTATACTCCTGCCGACTTGACGAAGAACAGCAGCTTGCCGGTGAGTATGGGCATCACTGATAGAGACTTATAAGTTCCTAGCATGTGAGACTTTCTGCTGCAATTAGGAAGTGAGGAGGCAGATCAGAAGGAGGGATAGCAGGGTTATAACTGAGTTTGGGGACCAGAGCTTCCTTTCACTAAAGGGAATATAAGTATTGTTTCCCCCAGTTTCCTTAGTGAGCTTAGGCCTTTGTAGGAGGCTAATATATTTCTAAAAGGCACATCTTAAATTTTCAAATTCTTTCAGATTAAAGGAAGGTAAACAATAGTTACTCATGGTTAGCAGGTTAACAATCTGATCCCAGAGGCTCCAAGAAGTAATTTCTAATAGTTTTAGAGTTGGAAGAATCACTTTAACAGACAGAGATTGAACACCAGTCTCTGCACTTGCTTAAGCAGGCACTTAATCTCCTGAGCTATCTTGCCAGCCATGAGTTTATCTTTATTTATAGCTGAGTAGTACTCCATTGTCTAAAAATACCCCATATTTTATGTATTATTCATTTGATGGACGTTTGTGCTGTTTCCAAGATATAGCCATTAAAAAAGTATACACCTATAGCTGTGGCATGATGTTTTCAGTTCTTCTTGAAAAATATCCAGAAGAGGAATGGATACATATGCAGTAGTAGGCTATTAGACAATGTTAGTTAAATGATTTTAAACTTCCTTAAGGAGGGGTTGGGAGCTGGACTTGGGAGATAGGTAGGATCTAGGCTGTAAGTGAGTCAGGGAGGTGCTCTGAAAGGAGAATCATCGAAGATATTACTGTGTTTTGAAATAAATTTATACACAGGGGAGTTCACATAATCAGTGAAGCATTAACTGATATGAAACTGAAATGCAAAGGTTGCTGTATAGCTATTATTTTGTGCTTGAATGTTCTGGGCATGAGAATGATGCAAATTGGGGAAAACTGGATGTCCTCTGCTACTGCCATGATGATATTCTCATTTTGAAGAGCGCTTTGGGGACATTGTACCCAAGCCTGGACAGTAGCAGGGGTACCCAGTGGGAACAGTATTGAAGCACAGCCTAGATTATAGCCAGGGAATAGGGAAGCAGAGAAAGTGCATTTTACAACTGTGTGGGCACTGGTGATCCTTGGGTAATGGCCTCCGTAAGCCGGGACTGGCACTGAGATCCTTCCCCATTCTGCTTCCTGTCATCAGTATGGCTGTGACTTTTTTGGTGCAGGTGATGGTGTGGATCCATGGAGGTGGTCTGTGGATTGGCGGGGCATCCACCTATGATGGACTGGTCCTTTCTTCCCATGAGAAGGTGGTGGTAGTGATCATTCAGTATCGCTTGGGCATGTGGGGATTCTTGAGGTAAGGTCCTGGTCTCTCTTCCCTTCCACTGCGTTATCTTGCTTTCTGTTGATACAGGAAAGTATTTGAGGTTCAACAGCTACAAACAAAGTACATTTACTTAGATCTCATGTTTGGAAGCTTGAAGTACAAGGTCAAGCACCTTCATGGGACCAATGTCTGGTGAAGAGCCCTTATCTGCCATGGCAGAGAAACAGCAATAAAGTTTGTGACATGTAGAACACTTACATTGGGCCAGAAAGAAAGCTGGAGAACAGAGAGGGATGTTATATTGCTCTTTTATTTATTTAATTTTTACAAGCTCACTCTTTGTGGGATATATTGGGTGCCTTTTAGAACTACATTAATCCTTTCCAAGGGTTGTGCCTTATATTAGGTCTTATATTTTAATAGCATTTCCTACCATCTAATACACCAACAATGAGGCCAAGGACCTAGTACATAAACTAGAAGGACAAACACATCCAAATCCTAGTAGGCATCTATACTATGACCCAGTTATTGTCACGGCTTCTATCCGTAATATGAAGCTTTGTTGAGTTTTTTCATTCCGTGTACCAAGGACCTTCATTATTAGATTGAGCCACCTTCTTATTGCTCAGCTACACTTGTCCGGAATACCCATTCTACTTGTCACACTCTTGTTCATCAGGAAAGCCCCAGCTCTCTATTACTACCTTTGTGACCTTCATCTCTTTTCACCTCTGTGGCATTAGCACACCCGGTCCTCTGGTAGATGTGAGCAGGCAGCGGAGCAGGTCAATGTCACACATCTTCCCAGGGAAAGGATGGGAGGGGCATCTCATTGAGATGGTAGGGTGAGGATTCATGCAGACACAGTTTCTTCTAACTAAGTTGCAAGGCTAAGCCTTTAGGGTTAAGCAGTGACTTCCACCGGAACCCAGCCAACTCTCATGGGACCTCTCAACATAGCCACAGACAGCTACTTATACCTCTTAGACACTCTGCCTTCTCCTGGCTCTGACCACCTCCCATCCCCTAGACACTCCTTCTTAGCCCTTCTATGTCCTTCTGTTTCTACATCATCAGACTCTGTGTCTCCTTCTCTGTCTCCATTAATTCCAAGCATGATCTGAGCAGCATTTTCACATCTCCCCTTGTTTGTACGCTCTCACTGCCCCCTTTGAAACCCAGTTGCCATCTTTAGCCATCTTTGTTAGTTTTCCCTAGATGTCTGCATTGCACTTCTTTTTCCCAGGGATGGGCTGAGACCTTGATTGCTATTCCTCCTCCCCCACAAAGAATCTCAGCTCTTCCCACAATGCACCTGATACACTGCTAGAAGTTCCTTCCTCCGTTTTGCTTAGGTTAAACACCTTGTTGGTATTCTGAACTTTTCTCTTTTTTTTCACGTCCTGCACCCAGTTGGCCAGCAAGACGTCTTGGTTCTACAACTAAACTATGTTCAGAATCCACTAACTTGTCATCCACTCCCTGACTGTCTCTAAACAAAGCTCAGTGTTGTGGCCTGAATTATTGATAGTCATTTGTTCTTGGGAAGCTCTTATCATCTACTATTGCACCTCTGCTGCCTGCATATCACATTATCCTCCCACATTTTTCCTCTTGGTCATAGGATCTGCACAAGTTCTGCTTCTACTAAGAAGAATTGCCTCTTTTGGAGATTTGCAAGACCCATATACTCATTTTATTTAGGTCTTTACCAAATGTCACTGCCTAAAGAATCATTCCTTGGTCATAATCTCTAAAATATAAGCCATGACACAAATACATCTATTATTTTTTTTCACATGAGTCTTTTTTTTCTTTCTTTCTTTCTTTCTTTTTTTTTTTTTTTTTACATGATTTTGGTTTTTCCACTGGCTGACCATATAATTTATTAATCTCTTTGTGGCCTGCAGTGTGAGCTGAGTTTTGTCAGAGACATTGCTTCTCTTAATTTCAAATGTGCTTTAGTGTTTAGGCCATTGTTGGACACAGGGTGGTAGATGCTTAGTGCAGAGGCTGGAAGAAAGAAAGTGGAACTTTCCCTCTCTATAGATCATTGTCATAGTGAATGACAGGCAGATGAAGACCATTTGTTCAGGAATAGGGAAGCCAAACCTCACTGTGGAAGACTCAGCAAGAAACCCTGCCCACGTGGGATCATGAAGGACAAATCAGGAGGACTCTGTGCACATTGACACTGTTCTATTGCAGCACAGGGGATGAACACAGCCGAGGGAACTGGGGTTTTTTGGACCAGGTGGCTGCACTGCACTGGGTCCAGGACAACATTGCCAACTTTGGAGGAAACCCAGGTTCTGTGACCATCTTTGGAGGATCATCAGGAAGTTCAAGTGTTTCTCTTCTTGTAAGTATACTGGGTGTAAGGCCTCTTCCTAGTCTTGATGCCACTTTTGAGGTGAACCCTGGGACACAGGATAACCCATCCTGGTCCTTTTGCTTAGAATACCTGGATTCAGTGCTGATTCTACTCAGTGCACAGTATCAAAGGGTGGACAGTGAAAGCTCAATGCTTCTTGGCCTGCAGAAGATTCAGAGCTCAGCTCAATATCCAGGAATCTTAAACATCTTTAGGTACATAGCCATTCCTGAGGCACTCCTCCTCCTCTTCCTCTTCTTCCTCCTCCTCCTCCTCCGCCTCCTCCTCCTCCTCCTCATACTTGGTTATGTCCTTTTTCACTTTCTTAAGGATTTTAACATTAAGCCCCACATTGCTTCTTTTAGAATGTTGAGAGGAGTTGTAAAGTACAGATGTTAGGAAATGAAGAGGACATGAACTGATTGTTCTTTGGGCAGGCTAGAGCACAGAACAGACAGGAGCATTCTCCAAGGTGACATGCTGTTTATTCCATATCCAAGAGGAAGGGCTGCAGGGAGCTAAGGGATGAGGAGCAGCTTGGGGAGCTAAGTGAGAGGGAAATGGCCATAAAGAAGAATGGGGAGGGATAGATCAGGAGTTGTGGGATACAGACACAACCTGGGGGTGTTAGATGTCTTGCTGTTTGGAGAAATTGGTGGGGCACAGCAGGACAATTAAAAAGTACTATACCCACCTACCTCAGACTTGAGCAGAGGGTGTATCTATTGCTGTATTTTTTAAACATGTAATAATTTTATAGTTGAATACTCAAAAAAGTTATGTTTCTTAAAGTTAAAAAAATGGAAAAAGAACAGCAAAAAAGGATCCAGAGCATAAAAAAATCATTCAGAATCCTACTACCCAGAATGGTCACTGCATATCTCTTCTCTCCTC